GATTGAATTCCAACCGTTGTTTACGAGCAGTCCCTTCACCAACGCATTCTTTATCCGAACAGCAAAATTTCCACGTCGTACTTAACTCGGATCACCGAATATTCAATTACGCGGAGAGAACGGCAGAAAATAGAGAGCCTTTTTAGTTTTCATTATAATTGTATTTATTCCAACGGGAGATCGTGGACCTGAATTTTCTTTTATCCGGGCGAATTGGGAAAGCCGACAGGTCTCCCGTAATCGGTTTCGAAAACGCGGCACCCTTCGGCAACGCGTTTTCGCCGGGAGCTAAACGGTAATTAAATCGGGGCCGAGGGGAGTTACGAAATTACTCGAAATCGTCGTTAACGGATTTCACGATTTTATTTATCCAGCGTATCAACGCGTCGTAATTAACGCGGCTATCGAGCGCGAGGTCCACAAAAGTAACTCGCCCCGTTTTATACCGCGTCCAGCCCCGATGAAATATCCCTGACGGCCGTCTCCCGGTTGTAAAGCGTTTAATCGAGCCGCGCCGCGCTGCAAACCCGGCGACCGAGACGGATTCGATTAAAATTTGAAAATCCCGCTCGCGTTTCCGGTTGACAGTGGCAAATTTCCCGCGACCACCGTCCAACACGTCACCGATGCGACGGATGAAATCGAGACGAGATTTCACGCTGTCGCTCCGGCTGTCTCTCCAAATTGATTAACTTAATTAACGCGTTATTATACGCAGTGCAATCGTTCGATTAAAACGTTTTCGCATTCCTGTAACGATTTTTAAACGTAGAACGTGCATCGAGCAGAATCACTGATGGATCGCATCGTATTTTCAACTGGACGTATCGTACACGGTAGGACATATTGTAGTTCGACGTACTACCGACTGAGTATACGTCTTATGAGAAATTATAGAGGATTATAGGCGTCGCGCCGACCCTCGTTAGTTACGTAACAGCCTACATATGCGTGTAGCTCTCGGACGGTGAATAGGACGATTGTCATCGATCAGGAATTTCATTAGCGCGTCGCTTCTGTCACGTGACCATCAAAGGGATCTCTGAAACGCGTCGTCGAATTAAAAACGATGACATTTCATCGTTCCATGGATTGGCGCATATTTTCCTCTGTAGAAACATCGGATCGACTGCGCGGTGAGAGATCGATTCCGCGTTGCTCGTACGCACGCATACGAATAAGAGTCGGCCTCACAGAGAAACTGTAATGGAACACTTGAAGCGGATTTTCAGCGGGTCGCAGTTAAAACAGCGACGACAGCTTTTAATTGAGGCTAGGATGCCGAGTGAAATATTGGAATTAATCGCGAAGCTTGCCTCGACTAACGAGTGGAGAGAGCCATCGAGTTAGATCAGTCAACGAATAATGGAAAAATCGATACAATGCCAGACCCCCTCGTTCCCCGTCCTCTCGCGTTCGTTCGTTCGTTCTTTCTTCCTCAAACAAATTCGACGCGGTTTCCTCACCGGAAATTATTCACGCAAAGTTTTCTAAATGAAAATAGGGGCGCCTACGCGTCAACGATAGTGTCCGCAACGCTCGAGAATTTCAAATCCTTTTCAATTATAAATTTAAAGTGGGTCAAACTCAATTTTTACGGTCCAGCCTTATGCGATATTTTTATTTTTTATTATCACCGACGTGCACAATAAATAACGGGGCGGGAGTATCACCCGATCTGATATTTGGCGATAAGAATATTTTGTTAAAAGATACACCACCCTCTCGCGTCGACCTTAATTTGGTCGCCGAAGCTCGGTGAAAGGGAACGGGGTTTAAAGGGAATCCGTTTTCTCGCAATTCAATTTTTCAATTCTTCGGAAACCTTCGAAAACCTACACGCACCCTTCTGGCTTAATTTCCGGAGATTAAGGAAAATTCAATTAATTAAATTAACGAAAATGGGTTAAGCGTAGTTGCTAAACTGCATGGATTTGTTGTTTCGCGCGTGCACGCGTCCCGTGTACTCGTAGACACGTGAAACAACACAGCCTGTCGCGACCATCTCGACCGGAAAATCTCGACTCATTATGCCGCATTTAAGCTTTCCGCTTGCACGCTCGAGAGAGAGTGAGTGAGCGTGGCCCGTGCTCTCAGCCTCCCATCGTCGAAAGGAAAGGGAACGATGACAACATTTTGAATCGCATCGGGATAAAAGTTAACGACTCGTTGATTTCTGCACGCCAAAGCGTTAAAGGAAACTGTGGAGTGGTTGCTTGATTCCGTTCGGAAAGAGACGGTACACTTGACCCGATCGTGCTCGCCGATTGTTAGAATCGAGTTGTTATCGGAGCAGCTCCTTTAATCAGTTTGTCCGCGGGAAATGAGCCACGGATTCGTCTCGAGGAGGTCGCGAACAAAAGTTTCGACGATTGGCTCGACCGTACGTCGAACAGTTTGCCTTCCTTTTTACCAGAATCCTCCTTCTTCTCGAACTCGAGAAAATATTTGCTCCAGTTTCTCCCTGTATTCGATCAACCGCACGATCATCGTTATCGTGTGTGCTAAACGAATTGTTTCACTTTGATTACGGATTGTAATACGGCGCGACGCAGTGTTTGCATCCAATAGAGGCGAAGGAATATTGCTAATAACCGCAACGAGGCGGAAAGCCAGCAATTCCTCGCGTAATAACGTTCCTGGATACCAGACAATAACGCAAACGGTTAAATCGGTTCGGATACGATTTCTCGTGATATATAACAAGCCGAGGGATGCTTCGACTATCAAATTTGTTGCACAGATATTTATAAACGGGATAGAAGCTGGACCGTTTCGATTAAACCGTTCCGTATATTCATGGGTTTCATTAAACCGATTCTAGTATTACTTGGAATTTTCGTTACCGTGAAACGTAGCAGCGGGTCGTTACTTTTATTCAGTCGCAGCTTCGACCTTTTTTCTATGCCACAGCAGTTTCTCTTATTACTCTCGAACGGCTGGCACCTGTTTCAAGGAAATCATTCGACAATTTTTCCCTTTTTTAAACTATCAGCATGAGAATGCTGATCGAATTGTCGCGTCGAATTTACTTTCATCTCGTCTGAAATTTATGTCGTCGCATAGCCGCTGTGAAGACAATGCGTTTAAATATTGAACAACGCGTCCGACGTTCTCCAGCGGTTTATCGATCATAAACCTGAACGACCAATCGAGAGCCGTGTACGTCGACGTTTCGAATCTAGAAATACGCGTACGCTCGAAATTCGAAAAAGTATTCAATCGGCTTTTTCGATCAGGGCCTTAAATTTCGTTTCCCGACCGTCGTATTCGAACAAAATAGGGACGAGAAGAAAAATGGGGGTAACGAAATCCGTGCGCGATCACGGTCGACGGAGGAACGGCCGAGGCACGACTTTGACGAAACGCTTCGCAGCGGCGAACGTGTAACGCGACCTCGATGGATCGAGATAAACTTCCGCGGGACTCTGCCCCGATACCTGCATCTTTCCTCCTCTTTCGGACATCCCCATCGTCGTATCCCGCATCGAACTTTATCTCGCCTCGACGAGATGCCACGGCGGCGGTGAATCGTTTCTCTCCCCGGATCCAAGACCTTCCCCTCGGTTCGTTTCCGCGAATCATTTTAATCGGGACGATCGATTCGGATAGACGCGAGACCGAGGAGGGTTACGGCTTTTAGCAGGTAGCGCGGCGCGGTTTTGCCAACGAGGATTAAATCGAATCGAGGCCGCGGGGCGGGGGTGGGATTTCGTTAGACGGAGCATCGCGTGTCGGTGGCTGTCTAGTGGAGTTCGGGAAATTTTATTCGAATAACGAGCAAGGACCGCGGATTAACCGCGGCTGGAGTACCGTTTATCCTCCTTGAGCAAATTGGGAGAGGGAACGTTTCCGCGCGAATCCAACAACGATTCGTCGATCGTGTACGCCAAGGATGCTGAGATCTATCCAATACCCGAGCGTCTAGCATCGTAGGTATAGTTTATCGAGGTTCGCCTAGGGACCCGAGGGTATAGCGATTCCCTTCTACGATTAAAATTTGATGGCGTTAACAGTTAGTTTTCTTTTTTACGGTCCGGTAATTGCGCGTCTCTTCGGTCCGGGAATCGACTTAATTACAGGGAAAACGCCGCTACTCGAAGAGAGTTTCGAACACTCGACGACTATCAAAAAATGCGGGATTTTAGATTTTTATTTTAGTGGACTAATATCGGGAACTCGCGGTTGATGCGCGGAGATTGTTTTAATTAGTTGAACCGTCCGGTCGATCGAAATTAACCGCAGCTGCCACTGGTAGACGCGGAATCGGATCGACGCATTCTCCTATTGTCCGTGTTTCGTGTTTGGAGAACGCGTTTGCGGGCAAGGGCGCTCGGTAAATAGGAGCCGTGGCCCTCGTCCAATTTGCTTAATTAGGCACTGATTTCGCCTTCGATTTACAAATATTTTCGCAGCCGTGCACGCGCCGGTTTACAATTAATTCTACAGACTTTTTAACCGCGTGGGAAATAGATATTTTTGCTCGTAACGAGGAAGAACCGCAGTGATTAATAGAATTAGCGGTAAATAGCACGAGTAGTTCGGACAGGGATGAATTATATCCGGCGGAGTGCGTCCAATTACATACATTGCATCGGGGGCCATTATTGCCGTAGCCGTAAGAGGAGTCACCGCGCATCCCCAGAGAACGGAAGTCCATCCATCTCCAGGAATTCAGATAATTGTCCCGCCGATTAAACTTTTATCTGAAATTCATACGAGGGACGAGGCCCTGTCCATTAACGCCGGACGAATTTCATTTGCGCTCATCTAGATATGGCAAAAATTCACGTGAATTATTCGTGCGCGTGCAAGACCGATCTGGGAACGGGACGAAGGAGCGCGTGGGCGCGTAGTAATAATTGCGGTGATCGGTCGGGCTCGTACAACAATTATTGTAGAATTAAACGGGTCCCACGGGAGGGGCAGTCTTAGCGAATTACGGGCATGCTTGGAACGATTATTGCCGCATTAATTTTGTCTTGTGCGGCTTGTTGCAGGTCCGAGGCGCGAAATAATTTGAAGCAACGACTTGCCATCGGTTCCTTCCACGAAAACGGCCTCCTATTATTAGGCCGCCGCTAAATACCAGACAACCGCAATAAGCAACGCCGACCGTTCCAAAAAACAAGTAGGTACACGTACGTGTAATACGTAGGTACACACACGACCGCGCGATTCCCTTTCCCCTTTGTTTTACGTCTCGCCCGATTCTTTTTATCTCCCTTCGTTCGTACGCTGCCTCTCAAAAGTTTAAGCCCGCCGTTCAACGAGAACAAAACCAAAGGATTCCTCGAGGAAAACACCGCGAGTGGACGTTGAATTTTTCTTCGCTCGACCAAAGTACTCTTTTTGATGCTTGCGTTTCGCTCCTCGACTTTATTTCCTTAATAATATTTCACGCTTCCGGCCGGTACTTTTGACCGGCGCTTTACCCCATTCGCACCGGTCCGGAGCGCGTCTCCCGTCTTCGTCGCTCGTTAACTCTTTCCTGGAGGAAACGCTAGGCGCGGCCTCCGTTATTCGACGGTGAAATATTCTCCACGAATTCTTCTATTTCTACGCTAACCCGTGCGAAATAACGAGCGCGAGAAAAATATGCCGACGCGTCGCTGCCTCCGTCTCTTCCTCTCTCGAGGAATTATTAAGAGTGAGATAGAGAGATAGATAGATAGATAGAGAGAGAGAGAGAGAGAGAGAGAGAGAGCGTACGATCACAGCCTCTCGCTTGTAAATTGTAAATCGTTCCGCCCGAACTCGAACGCTTCTCAAACGCGTTTACATTCCAAGGATAAGGTATTAAGAGTACTCGAGCGTGTATAGATCAGACGAATGCAACGCGTTTACTCCTGTTTTTCTCATTCCTCCGCTGCAATCTCTCGAGGTTTCACCATCGAGAACAACCGAAAGCGACGAAAATTCGCGAAAGCATGCAAATTGCGTTACTACGATAATGGCCGTAGTAAATAAGCAAGTGCGGGCCAAATTATAGCTGGCTGTGTGTGCAGCCCCCGTCCCACCTTTTTCGGCGCTTTTGCTTAGGATAGGAGGGGGTGGAGTTTGGGTTGAGGGGGGCAGCTGCCGAGACCACTTAACTTAACGAATCCTGCGGATAAAGGGTTACGCTCGGTCGCACAAAGGAGAACGCTCCTAAAAAATATAATTAAATGCTTTATTCATAACTCTCTTTCGTGCCGCTCTTCTTACTCGTCTCACCCTGTTTTTTCACCACGCGGAGGGGAGGATGCAAATGAATTTAAAGCGATTGTTCGTCCCGGGAAACGCGATGCCACTCGCTTTATTAGGGAACGCGAATAAGTTTGTCAATTTCCGTATACACCCTCGTTTGTAAGTCTCAGGGCCCGTCGCGAAATGTATCAGAATTTGAAATACTTGCGGGAGTTCTCGATGGGCGACGATCATCGAAACGATTCGAAAATGGATAGAGGATGCGAGCGATTAGAAAAAATAACAGTCGGGCGATTGCTTGGCGCAGGTGCGAGGGTGGCCAAATTTATCGGGAAAACAGGGGACGCGTGTCGGGGAGTGGATGGTAAGCAGCCAATAACGACGCGGAGTTAGGGAAGCGGCGAAAAACTCGTGGTAGAAGAGGGAGAGGGACAGAGAGAGAGAGAGAGAGGGCGGATATCAGAGTCGACTACCGGTATTCCGGGGGCTGGTTTTTTCACTCCTACCCCGTTCTGTCAGCTTGCTCGTCGAAATTACGTTTTCGAGTCACTTCGCCAAACGAGATTTGTCTATGCATCGGAAGAGAGGAGCGCCGGTTCACCCTCTGTCGACGGAATTTTTGCAATACGCTTTTGAATGGCCGTGTGCCTTGAGCTTTTCACCGGAAAGCGAGCTCGGGCGTCCATGTAGGCCACGTATACGGGAAGCGAAACTGTACGATGGGACCTAGAGAACGGAGAAAGCTACGGGTAATAACTATTCCCTCCTGAAACTGGTTGCCGCCGCCGCCGCCGCTGCCGTCGCCGCCTTGTAGGAAAAGCGGTCCCGGTGCAAATTGAACGGTACCGGTCGAGCATGTAATTTGCACCTAACAAATTCGTTACCGGAGTTCGTTCCGGGGACCCGGTTAACCACGTCCGAGTGTGTTAAACCCTCGTCGCGACTTCTCCCGTTCTTCGATCTCGTTATATACCCGTCAGAATCGTATCTGCCATAACCGGGAGCTTAAAGGCTTGCCAGGGGAGGCGTCGAAAGGAAGAACCACAGGATAGCTATTATGCCATTCCGCTCCGGCTTCCCGATATTTTCTTCAACGAGGGGGACTGAGTTATTCGTAGTAATAATTATTCTTCTCCGGTACATATGCGGCCCATCCCTATCGCCCGACGCATCGATGAGGGTTGGTAGCCAAGGGTGATCATCGCGTAGCAAACTTTCTATCGTACAGTCTCAGGAAAAAGTACGACGTATTTTCGTACTTGGAACAATTTCTTTCGCACGTTGAAGATGCATTAACAGTAAAAGTTCGGATGAGATATAACGTGGAAAGGAGAATGACTCGGTGGCAATGTCGGTCGACCCCCACTCAGGGGATTAGTTTACGATCTCCGCATTATTCGCAGCGAGCGTATACAGTCGCACGCGCCTCGGTATCGAACGAAAACGGCGCGGCGCGGCGTCGCGAGGGATGAAGCGGGAGCGTGGGGCGAGGATAGGAGCCAAAGCACACGGTAGGACGTGTGGGAAGAAAGATGACGGATAAAAAAGGACGCGAGAGCATGATCGGGACGGAGGGGCGACGTTGGCGTAATTCCAATGAACGGAGAGAAAGGGGAGAACGGGATAGACACACAGGTACGCGTCGCGACACAAAACGGGTCCAGTCATTCTCGAAATAGGCGGCTGGAATGCCTCGGTGGTGCGCGAGATAGAGACGGACGCTCGGTTGGGGAAAAAAAGGAAACCGAGAACGCGACACGAGAAAGCTCGTCGTCTCTCTCTCTATCCGTCCGTCCGCATCCGTCTCGTTTGTTCCGTTCTTGTTCGCTTCTCGATTCTCCGTTTCTTTATAATGCGAACCGCGGAGAGGAGCCGAGGGTAGGGAAGGGAACGAAAGGAAAGGAGAAGGCCACCCATGTCTGGAGCACGGGCACGATCTTGGAAGGCGCTGAGCAGCGACAAAGGGAGAGGAGAACGACAACCGGGCCACCGAGAAAGATACCACCGATGCCATTTAATAGCTTACCTCGGAACGTTTTAGATAATGACTGCTCGGACCTCCGAGTGCCTTCTTTCGTTTGATTCCGACCGTGCCGGAGGGGTGAAAGGGGAAATCGTTCTCTCTCTCCCGGAGAAATAAAGGGAAAAACGAATGGGTATGGATACGTGGCTGAAAAGGGAAGAGCAACAGCGATTTATAACTCCTCCTTTAGTTTTTTCTAAACCTTTTACGTGCGTTCAAAGGGTAAAGTGAATAGCGCGCGAACAGGTGCGACATTTTTCTTTACGCCGCCCTCGCCAAATTACACGGGACCCGTGTACCTCCGAATCTGTGAGAGAAACTTAGAGACGGTAAACGAGTCTTAGAGACGAGAGGAAACAAGCGTTGACAACGCGATCGGTCTCTCCATTTTCCCCAGAGTTTCCTCGTTGACCAGGCGAGCTGGAAAACTCGGTGAAGTGAGAAACATGGCGTTTAGACGAAACGAGGAAAAAAAGCGGCTGCGCCAGGGAAATGTTTTTCGCATTCGTTTAAATTGAAATGGGCCCGCTGCTGTAGCTCAATAGTGGGAAGCGTTGAAAACGCTTAAACTCGCGATGGCTGTTGGCAAACTTGTCTTTCTCTTTTCCGCGAATCAAGCATTTTTCCTGCATGGCTACTCCTCCGTGTACACTCTGTTCCGTACAAATTTTCATAATAGATGCCACTGTTTCTCGAGTGCGACCATTTGCGTTCCTCGTTTTTCTCTTTCCCTCTGCTTCCTGTTTTCGTATATTTATACAGTCCACTTTCCGAGTAATGATTCTTGACGCGCCCGTGCTCTAGAAAACGTACAGGTCGAGTCAATGAGAAACGGTTACGTGAAATAACTGATCAGAATTTCGTGTTCGACGAATATTGCGTTATTTTAGATCAGACGGTGGCCTCTAATCGGTGTTTATTCGATATTCGTTGCGCGTTCGTGCACGTATCGATGAGTCGTTAAGTCGCCGATTAATTGCTCGTGACTAATTTGGGCAACGAGGTTTGAAAGATCTCGGTTTCCATCGAATATCGATAGGCGATGCATCCGCAATATTAAGTAACTCGCTTTTAACCGATAAAAACGTAGCGGTACGTGATTTTCAGTTTATCGGTTAGTGGACAAAAAACGAGGCGGTACGTGATCTGCGGTGAACCGCTGCGCGACAAAAAGGTTTCATACCGCGTAATTCACAATTTGCCGCGGACCGCGAAAAAAGCCTTACTTGTACGTGATCTTAGATTTCACCAGAAACGGATAAGTGACCCGTGAAATCGCGTACTATCGCATTGGTCACGACTCGTGTAGGACTCTTAACGGTACGTGACGAATTCCGAGGGAAAAACTTAAGGAATTGCACGAAATATCTTTGCAAACATGGCCATCCTAATTTCGCAAGGCCTTTTTCTTTCTTAACCTACTTGCGAAACGGACTCGCTTCAAATTAATTATTTTCCCCGAGAGAGAGTAAAGCAGTCGCTGCGACGTTCGCACGAGGCGCAGAGAGAATCTCGCGACGCAACAAGCTCGAAATTGTTTAACCGAGAGAGTCATGCCAACCGATAGCGAGCGCGACCGGTCGTGTCTCTCGATGGAAAGCGAGATCGTTAGCCCGAAACGTAATCGTCGATTGAAATGAAATCGTGTCTGCGCGATGGTCGACCGGTTCCACACGTTTTTTTCGCTCTGTCCCGTTTTCCCACGCAGAGGCGCACCTGTGTCACCGGTCCTTCGCGCGATTACGCGAGCGTGTTATCCGTTTTATCGCTGCATCAGACACGCGAGTAAACGCGTGTACGATAACGCGACCCGTTCTAATCCTATCCGGGAATATGTTAATGGAGAGAAATCGTCCTTTCCCATTAGCTTTAAACCGCGAGTAATCTCGGCTATTAAGGCGGAAAATTGTGCCACCGGG